TTTATTTTTTTTGAAGGTGAATTTTTACCAAGCGTGATTATAATTAAGTCGTTTGAATGATACGAAAATCTAGGAAGTGAAACATTATAACAATTCTTAATTAAATAGTGATAACCTTGCTGCAAATATTAGGTAAGGCTGGACACACCTGGCAGCCCTGACGTAATCCTATATGGCAGTTAAAATAATTTGTAATGTCAGATGACAGGTTATCTGTTGCTTTACATCTGCAATAGAGAATGGTCCCGTGATTTGAAAGGTTACAATTGATTTCATATTTTTCTACTTTGTTGAATAGACGGTCAAAAGGAATTAAGCATGCATAAGGTCTTTTGATATTGTTCATTCAATTTGATATACTCATGTATAAGAGAAGTTAAAGTAAAACTATCCTTTATCTAGGTTTGAGTTCAATCTGGTTCTCATATAAAGCGTTGATTTAATAGCAATATTTAGAAACTCTATGTGAGGGGAAACAATACTGTATATTCTCTCGATCAGGGTTGTCGAAAAAATATAGAGATACAGTTCCTCAGAAATAAAAAAAGATTTTAGTTATTGTGTTTTGTCGAGTTGACAGTTCAGTAGACAATAATTTTCCCACATTTAGCAAGAATTTTGCATTGCATTTAAAAACAGTCTTCAAGTATATAGTGTTATCACTAGGTGATGGAGCATGCGATGACTTGAATGGTATATGTCAAGAAACTACTGTACCCTGTGGTGGATGGTATGTACAAGGAAAATGTGAAGGTCATCATTTCAGACAATGCTGTGTCCCACCTGAAGGTAATTTGCCGTTCTTTTTTATAATGAAATGTAACTATTATTTAATACCTGAAACGTTGCCTTACTCTAGGAATAAATAAACCATACAAAAACTTAAATTAATTTTCAGATGATTCAAAATGCACTGATATAACGGGTTCCACGTGCTTAGATACACGGATTCATCCCTGTTTAAATGGTGATTATCGATCTGGACTATGCTCAGGACCTGATACAAGGAAGTGTTGCATACCAGGGTAGGTTACACCAACATTTATGCAAACCAACTGATGAATGTTTGCATTGCACTAGTATATTGATTAATGTAATGTATATGTTTATATTTATATTTATGCTTCACAACTCTGTTTATTGTTTATTAATTTCAGATGTCCTGATTTTTATACTGGTAAGTATAATTATAGACTATACTTTGTTCTTCTGATGGCTGAGTTTAAAAAATTACACATATATATATTAGCAGTCAGTAAGTCAGGATTGAATAATGATCATACTATGTTGGTGAATATTATGTACTAGAATATTCGAATATTTGACACGATTATGATCAAGATTATGAATATTGTCCACTACGTCAGTTGATCATTATTTCTAATTTACAACTCCTGGTGTGTAATAAGCATTTTTTTTTTCAAATTCAGATAATGGCAAAAAACAGTCCTACGAATGTCATATTGCCGGAGGATGCTGCAGACCCTATTCATGTGAAGTAGATGAAATTGAACTACCGTACAATTGTTCATCGAATTGCAAATGTTGCATCCCACATCGTAAGTTTCATGCTTTGTAATTTAAATGTGGTGCGTACCTGTTCGTTGACATGACACCATTGTCAAATAATAAATAGCTCATCAATCAATGAACGGGAATTTTTATTACAGAAAATAGAAACTCAATTCATCTTACATGATTTGTATTGTTCATGTTTGTGAACTTGTATGTAATTGTTATCGTTGCTAGCATGATTCTATTGGTATCAATATACGTTTCTAATACGTGTGACAACATCCTATTAGCCCTATGCACACCATAAAACGTTTAGTGGTTTATTAACAAACACTGAAAAATAAACTTCAGTTAAATATAAATTGGAGCGTACTGCTTAAATCAAGTTAGACTTGTTAACTACTTTTAATCCATGAGAATGTTTGAGGTTAAAACTATATGGTTTAACGGCAAATTGTTATAATTGAGAGTAACAGTTATTGAAGCATGAAAGAAAGAGTGATGTCAGAATATTAAACATGTCTCATACAGTTTGAGGTGCTTCTTTAATATTAATAAAACAAATACTAGACTCGTTTCTAGATAAAAGGAGAATCAGTTATGGTTAAACATCTCAATATTATCCTCAACCACATGAATCATTTTTCTATTATGTGTTGAATAGAAGATGAAGGCATTACGTGTCATGATGGAGAATACCATGTTGGTATATGCAAAGACTCAAGGATTGATGACAATGCTGGATGCTATACACAGAGTAAAATATGCTGGAGAGACAACGGGTGTAACCGTAACATGATGTGTTTTATCCCATACATACAACAACATGGCACTTTAGGTGAGCTCGGATATTTGTTTTAATAATATCTGATTTACATTGGATGTATGTCTGTAATTGCATGGGAGTGAGTCAAAGAGTTCTCCATCGATTTCGCTGGAACAAAATTAAGACATTTGCTATTATCATACATAGTTATCTATCAAGTGAAATAGACGACACTATATTCCGTCTTTATTGTATGTTATATGATTGTTGGTTATCCTAAACCAATTATAGCATTTATTATTTAAATGACTGCCCTGGGAATAGTGAACAACTAACAGTACACACAGGCATAGCTAATGTACAGTAAACTAAATGCCATAAAAATATTGATTATTTCTATTTGACAAATTCAGTGTATATGAGGTTTTATTTACTATTACCAACACATCCAACTCATAAGAATAGTTATATATATATATATATATATAATTGGCAGAAGACTAAACAAAGTATTTTTAAATATTATAGTGTTTCCTTTTTTGCAGATGATGCATGTAAAAACCGAGGTCTTGGTGCGCATTGTTTGGCACCACACGAACAGTGTTTTGGTACAATTATTCAAAACATATGCCCATGTAAATATGGATGTTGTATACCGTCCAGTAAGTCTAAACTGTGTTTGCATATATCTATACAAAGTTGTCACATTTACAAACAATATACTAAGGAAATACAGCTACTATTAGAGCCGTGGTCGATGCGCATGTGCGACATTTGTGTTGATAAACATTGATTTTCCCATAATACAATGCACGCTTTGGATACAAATCACACGTACGAGGTTTTCTTCTAATAACCTAAAAAAATAGCTAATTAAACTTAGTAACGTCTCAGTTTGTAATCATCGATCTATTCAACAGTCAAAATTGCCATCTTTGTTTATAAGAGGCGCCCATATCTTGTGCGTGCGTGACTGGCCAGCTACCTCTCTTTAATTAAATTGTGGATATCAAACTATAGGACTCTGGTTTGGCATTTGGCAAAATAAAGCAATGTGCACCTACAACACTCCATATTACAGTGGTCACTAGTTCATGTTTCAGGTATCAAATACTGATATGTATATGTTTTTCAGGCCCCATTGACTTCTTTATTTTCAGTTGACGAAATTTGCCCTTATCCTAATTACTGCACTAAAGTAGGTGTAGATTGTGCTGGCCTTTTCATTGAGTCAGTATGTGGTGACGACTGGGGATGCTGCTATGAATCTGCAGGTGAATATGTACTATCACACAGTGTGTTAAATTCAGATATTATAACTTCCATAATGCAACAACATTGTATTTTTGAGTTTGAAAAACAACTGTTTGGAATGTTTCATTGTTGTTTCGAAATTATGATAATATAATTTATTCTACAATGTATATCTTTCTAGTAAATCATAGTATAATTGCATTTTTCAATCAGATGATAGTAAATGTACGAATATTTATTCACTTGGTGGGGTAAATGGTACTTGTCAACACGACAATACGTCATGCGATGGTTGGTATGTCTCTAACAAATGTGCGGGACCACCAAACAGACGGTGCTGCAAGCCTCCAGACGGTGAGAAAGTATTGTTTGTGTTAACCAAACACAATTAATCGTACAATAGCAATGTATGGACATACGCCTTTGTTTTATGATAATAATGTTGTTCTGTAAATGTATTAAGAAACCTTAGTAGAGTAGAATATGCCTAAAACATAACATGTTCATTAGAATCCCACATTGGTTATTATATTTATCTGTCTGAGCAGTGGTTTGTGCATGTGTGCTGACATTCATTAGAGCGTTGCATTGTGGGTCGACGTTCCTGAACAGGTTTTTGAAATAAAGGAATTCAATTTTTTTTTGTAATGTTTACAACACATCCAATTATTGCGTTTTATTGCGATTTTAGTGTAACGAACTCAACTCGCGCACTACGACTAAATGAATCCACAATTAGCATTCATATCAAGGGCATAGCTTAGAATGGCATACATATTCTCCGTGCATGCTCCATCTCAAACTGTTTTTTAAGGCAAAACCAGAAAACCTAAGCTGGATAACCAACTAGATTTGAAATAGCGGGACTGTGTACTAAATCAACTGGATTCGACATAGAGGGACTTGGTACTTAGCTCGTACACAATTTGTGTGTGACTTTCACTGTTCCACTATTATAAATAGAAACATTTTTTTTAAATGTTGGCGCAATGGCTTCCACACTTATTGCTTTGTATACTAATAACAATAATCGCAGATATTAATTTTGCGTACCTTGATTTGTTGACATAATATTAGATAAGATCACGACAGTATTCTTTATTACATTGTGGATATTATTATACTTAAAAGTGTTACATGCGTTAAGGTGGATATTATGTATATTACGTTTATCATTTCAAGATGGTTATGAAGGCTATTAATCTGTGCGATGAAAAATCACCAATCATCATAAAAAAAACTCAACATTAACTATCCTCCATTCATCATTTTTTATTTTCATAGAGGATGCAGCATGTACTCATTATCCCGGTGCCCAGTGTTTGGATATCACGAAGGATTTTTGTTTGACGATGATTATCGATCTGGTTTATGTGATCCGAATGGACCTACGAAAAGACAGTGCTGCATACCTGGGTATGTTGACAATAATAATTTAATAGTAGACGATGAAATGTAAATTAATCATGGTTAAATTAATGTTGGTATGCTGGAGTAAATGACACGTATATGATATTGGGTGTAACATGTTCGCAATATAGCATGTAATGTATCCTTGTATTAGCTTTTTCTACTTCATTTTATTTTTGTGTTATTTTTAGGTGCCTCGAAAAAAAAATTAGTAAGTTATTTTACATTAATTTACTACTTATAGTCTTAATCTTGGATTGAATTTATAGTATAGTATTTGTCAGTATATGAAACGTGACACGTGCACGTGACTACGAATAACAGTGTTTTGCACAAGTTAAGCAACTGTCAAATTAGTGCTTCATACTTCATAACAGGCCAATTCTATCACATCTTGCCGGGCTCGAACTTTCATCCAATCAGAGCATTCCAAATAAACATGCTTCCCCACAAATACTAGAGGGCGCTCTGACCAACAAATTGCCATTATCTAAATAAAAAATATATACCAGTTCTTCAATGCTTCAAGGCTTCAGTCAATGGTTTTTTTTTCACTACCTACCCATCCCCTCGTCTGGCACTATGTAGCTGGTGTGGTATATTTATCACAGACAGTAGGGCATTTGTCACATTTAGTGCTCCAAAAAATATTTTCTGTCCATGTGTATTTATAAAAATAGATGCAGTTTCTTTGGCTTGAATAACATTCACTGGCTTCGTACATACATGTATACTGGTTTAACTGTTTCTAGTTGAAATTTAGCCATTCTTATTACCCAAGACAGTTGGACATTTGCCACATGTACTAACACTCGTTTCCAAGTGCCACAGCTTGAAACAAGTAGTCAAATCTGATATTGGCTGGAGCTTTTGTTCATATGGAAATAGACATGGTGAACGACAAACTAGATGGTCTGAAAGTAATAAAAATAATCACAGCTTTACTCCACCCACCCCACTATGAAGTGAAAGACTGTTTATAATGCGATTTATGATTGTTTCATGTTTATTATGGAAGATAATTTTAATTATAAACTTATATGCTCCTGCACCCAATCGTGGGGATCAATCATTCTAAACAACAGGTGTCACTATTACTAAGAAAAATGTACTTTTTCATTAAAATTACTGAATGCTTATAGTTATGTTCTAAAATATTAGTTTCTGTACTTTTAATAAAAGGCAATGCATTGGTTCATCACCTTGGCTACGTGTTAAAATGGGTCTCAATTCACTTTGGTTTGTTACATAATCGTTCGACCAATCTTGGACTTTAATTGTGCACGCAAAACATGGTTTCGGCACTGTGTATTTTTGGGAGGGTACCATTTATTTTCATCACCTTGGCTACGTGTTAAAATGGGTCTCAATTCACTTTGGTTTGTTACATAATCGTTAGACCAATCTTGGACTTTAATTGTGCACGCAAAACATGGTTTCGGCACTGTGTATTTTTGGGTGGGTATCATTTATTTTCATCACCTTGGCTACGTGTTGAAATGGGTCTCAATTCACTTTGGTTTGTTAAGTGATCGTTCGACCAATCTTGGACTTTAATTGTGCATGCAAAACATGGTTTGGGCCCTGTGTATTTTTGGGTGGGTACCATTTATTTTCATCAACTTGGCTGCGTGTTAAAATGGGTCTCAATTCACTATGATTTGTTACAGAATCGTTTGACCAATCTGGGAATTTATTTGTGCATGGAAAACATGGTTTGGGTCCTGTGTATTTTTGGGTGGGTACCATTTATTTTCATCACCTTGGCTACGTGTTAAAATGGGTCTCAATTCACTTTGGTTTGTTACGTCATCGTTCGACCAATCTTGGACTTTAATTGTGCATGCAAATCAGGTTTGAGCCCTGTGTATTTTTGGGTGGGTACCATTTATTTTCATCAACTTGGCTGCGTGTTAAAATGGGTCTCAATTAACTATGGTTTGTTACAGAATCGTTTGACCAATCTGGGAATTTATTTGTGCATGGAAAACATGGTTTGGGTCCTGTGTATTTTTGGGTGGGTACCATTTATTTTCATCAACTTGGCTGCGTGTTAAAATGGGTCTCAATTCACTATGGTTTGTTACAGAATCGTTTGACCAATCTGGGAATTTATTTGTGCATGGAAAACATGGTTTGGGTCCTGTGTATTTTTGGGTGGATACCATTTATTTTCATCACCTTGGCTACGTGATATAATGGGTCTCAATTCTCTTTGGTTTGTTACATAATCGTTCGACCAATCTTGGACTTTAATTGTGCATGCAAATCATGGTTTGGGTTCTGTGTATTTTTGGGTGGGTACCATTTATTTTCATCAACTTGGCTGCGTGTTAAAATGGGTCTCAATTCACTATGGTTTGTTACAGAATCGTTTGACCAATCTGGGAATTTATTTGTGCATGGAAAACATGGTTTGGGTCCTGTGTATTTTTGGGTGGGTACCATTTATTTTCATCACCTTGGCTACGTGATAAAATGGGTCTCAATTCACTTTGGTTTGTTACGTAATCGTTCGACCAATCTTGGACGTTAATTGTGCATGCAAATCAGGTTTGAGCCCTGTGTATTTTTTGGGGGGGGGGGGGTACCATTTATTTTAATAAC